TTAAATGTCAAATTAAAATTCAATTTACCATTCTGAAATATTTGAGTAATATAGCAAAGTAATATTATTTATAATTTAATTTAATTTAAATATGTAACAACTCCTTAATATTTAGGACACAATGCAAAATAATGTTCGTTTACTTAATAATTAAATAAACCAATATTATTTTGCAATGTTACCTAAATATTAATAATAATTAAATATTTTTGCAATGTTTCCTAAATATTAAGGAGTTACATATTTAAGTAGAAATAGCTACGCGTGTCAGTAGAAATGGCTATGAGTGTCAGTATTGACATGCATGTCATAGGTTCGCCATCACGGCTCTAGATCTTTTCTTGCACCCATCTCAACTGAAATGAATGGGAACCATAGTTTGGAAGTAACACCTTAAGAATAATAACATTTGTAACATTATTTTAACATTTTTGGCTGATGGGGATACAATATCATTATATTTCAGAAATAATGTAAGAGCAAGAACAACGTTGCCTTTATATGTATACAAGAAGTAAGGTGTTATGGTTAATTTTGTGACCTTTTTGGGACACTTTGATTGCTCTTTTAGATACACTTAAGGAAAAAACATATCAGATCTTATTTCCTAGGACAGTGTTTCTCAACCTGGGAAGTTGTGAGGGGGTGTCAGAGGGTCACCAAAGACAATCAGAAAACACAGTATTTTCTGTTGGTCATGGGTGTCCTGTCCCAATTCTATCATTGATGGGGTTCAGAATGCTCTTTGATTGTAGGTGAACTATAAATCCCAGCAACTACAGCTCCCAAATGTCAAGGTCTATTTTCCCCAAACTCCATCTGTGTTCACATTTGGGCATATCGAGTATTGGTGCCACGTTTGATCCAGATCTATCCTTGTTTGAGTCCACAGTTCTCTCTGGATATAGGTGAACTACAACTCCAAAACCCAAGGTCACTGCCTCCCAAGCCCTTCCAGTATTGGGTTGTTGTAGGTTTTTCGGGCCATATGGCCATATTCTAGAGGCATTCTCTCCTGTCGTTTTGTCTTCATCCTCAGATGTTGTGAGGTCCAGTATTTGCTATTAGTCATAGGAGTTCTATGTGCCAAGTTTGGTTCAATTTCATGGTTGGTGGAGTTCAGCATGCTCTTTGATTGTAGGTGAACTCTAAATCCCAGCAACTACAACTCCCAAATGAGAAAATCAATTCCCCCTCAAGCCCACCAGTATTCGAATTTGAGCGAATCAGGTATTTGTACTAGGCCTGGGTAACAACAGAAAAATTTGTTTCTAAAATCGATTTGTATTTGGGGGGTTTTTTTGTTTCG